TGCAGTCTCAGGGAGAGACAAGGAGTCTTCTGTGCTTAAGGGCTGTGAAGTGCACAGTTTTTAACCAGGTTGAGGTCTAATCTTTTAACCAGCTCACCTTTCCTAAGGTGTAGAGTCTTGCCTTTTCTTTCCAGAGCAGTGTGGGTTCAGCACAGCCATCCCATAAAGAGCCTTTTGGCAGATGTAGCACATATAAGGAAATCAACAAGTTAAGCTGTCAATGTCAAAAAAACTTTCCTGGGCATCTGCAAATGATCTCTCAAAAAAAATACCTTTACCTGGCTGTATTTCCACAGAAACCCCAGAAGTCACCTGTCTGGTCTCGGGCACATCTCCCTGTTAAATCTCAACATTTTATTTCACGAGTGAAACTTTGCTGGGGGCAATGGCTCTTCACACCCCAACAGACAGTGGCCACAAGTACGAATAAGTAAAAAGTCAACAACTCAATACTTATAGTTTTCATACTGGAAGTTCATTTCTAGCAAATGGATTATGTAGATAATGTTATAGGTGCGTGCGTGTGTGTATCTCCATACTTTTATGGTCTTGCCTCACAAAGAAGCATTTCTAACATGCCTTCAGATCAAGGTCCATCAATCTGGACTTTTTTCCCTTTTTTCCTATTTTTTTTAATCCTGTATTTATGTTATTGTCTGCCAAGGTTCACTGCCGGAAGCTTCCCTTCTGGCCCTAGAGGAATCCCACAGCCCCACCTTAAGGAATGTGGTGCAGTGCCTGTGCAGCACAGGGAGGTGGAGACCTGGCCTGGGGGCAGTGATGGTACTTGAAGGGTGGAGATGTGGCAGCTGCTGCCATGCCACTGGTTGCAGATGACCGGCAAGTGCAGATTCCATGTTCAAGTGCTGACAGAGCCAGCCTGGCTCCCACTAATTGGAAGAGGCTGAATACATACCTTGGCCTTCAGAAGATCTTAATCATGCCTAATTTATACTGGAGAAAAAATCCAGTAACTTCTGGAGACTTTGTAAAAACACTTAGCACAGTCTAAATAATAACAGCACCAAAACCTCACACCATAAAAATCTCTTAGACTAAAATGGAAATAGATACTTGCAGAGTATTTTTCTTTCTTTCCTTAACACAAGGATTTGAAAGGAGGGAGAAACATCACAGATGATAGGCAATTCCTTTCTGAGAGGTTTCTTTATGTATCTCCATGTGAAGGCTCTTGGTAAGGGAAGAAAAACTAATGCACTGAAATAAAATATGTACAGATGTAGCTTTTTGAAATGACATCCCATTTCTCAAGAATCTGATGTAGCCTTTAGTCAGTCTTGTTTCTTACAGTTCTCTGTGCTTTGCATGGTAATTAGCTGCTTGCGTTATCAGCCACACGATGCTCCCGGCTATTTCTTCAGCAGCTACTGCCGTTATCCTCAGCAGCAGCTCCTCTCATCCTCCTGCCAGACTGTATGCCAGCCGCATGTGTGTGCAGATGTTTGGTGTTCTTCAGGCTGCCCTGACTGAGGAACGAAGGTAATGGGAACAGCATTGGAGAAAGAAGAGACTGGAGCCCACTTCCCCCAGCAGCTCCCCGAGACTTGCCAGTATTTCACTCATGGTTCACTGAAGGTTCAGTGAGGCGAATTTGTTATGACAGATCACAAAATGCAAGGGGAGGCAAATGACCTGGGTTCATCGGTATCAGAATAATAGCACCTCCTTGGCTTAGTTGGAAACAGCAGCCTCAAAACCTTTATTTTGTTTTAATTGCTTAATATACTTTTAAAGTAGTTGAAACATTTATTGCACAAGTATAGTGTGGCATGCAGGCTATTGAGAGGGTGGAGGGAGTGCTTTGCACAGATTGCCAGCACCACCGACATCAGCCTCATGCAGGTGCTGCGTCATGCAGCTGGTACGGATGCAATAGTGTCTGGATCAGGCTAGTCCACTGATGCAAATAACATTTCAAGTGCTCTGTGGTATTTGTTGCCTGCAGGTAATGCAAACTCTCCTTTTAATTCATATTTCAAGAAATATTTACCAGCTTTGATATCTTTTGTAATTAAAATATGGCCATGAAGTTAAATTCAGATTGCCAGATTCCCTGGCAGTGTGGGTTCCTCAATAATGTGAGTAGAGAGGAGGTGAAAAAGAGCTTTTAAATTGAGAATGAGAAGTCTTTTCCATACCAACATCTACATGCACTTTTCAGACGTACCTTAGGTCCCACAGTTACACTCTGCATTGCGTTATATGATACCATGATGAAAAAAATCACATGGTCCTAGGCCATATGAAATTGAAGTTGCTTGCTTTGTGTAGAGCATGGTCTCTTGAGTTCCCCACCCTTATTCTAGAAAGTTTAATATCAACAGTAATGTAAGACCCTTAGAAGTATTCAAAGCAAAAATAAATTATACATGGCACTAAAAAGAAAAAGAAGAAAGAGGAAAAGTTAGAAATAGAGGTTTTTTTCCAAATATGGTTTCAGTTTTGCATATCTTGTCTTTGGTTTTGTGTTTACAACCTTTTTTTGCCTTTTGAAAGGCAGTGTAATGATTTTGAAAGAGAGATGTGAATTTTTTTTTTTTTTTTTTTTATTCCCTGCCCAGAGATATGATGTGCCAGGGAGAATAGCTAAAGTTTTAGTTCTGTGGTAATGGGAAGTGCCACTTCTTAATGATGAGTATTTGGTGAGTGTTATTTCATTACACTTCAAGGAAGGATATTTAATTTTGTAACAGAAGCTTGTTTCTAAACCCAAGTCTGAAATAGTTTATTGCCAAATTTACCTTCAGTAGTTTTATCTCCTCACAAAAAGTGTCATTTCACTTTATGTTCAAAGTATTGTATGCAGCATGAGATGGTAGGTCATCTCATCCCTCCTTCTCTAAGATGGCAATGGATTAGCATACAGAACTTGAGGTCAGGCAATAAAAATCATTGCTATGTAAACAAGGCATTCATGAGGAGGGATGGATTTACACTCTCCATTGTTGTTACTGGGATACCAAGTCATAGGCCAGGGTCTGGGGGAGGAAAGGGAGAAAATGGAGGGAAACCCACAGACAAGAGGTAAGTTAAAATTAGCTAATACGGTTTTTAAAATTTTTAAATACCCAAAGATTGTTGTAGTGTTTCTGTCTGTCTTTTTAGCTTCACTGGCAGCGTGAACTCTTGCACTTGCACCCTGCTTCAGCAACAGGAAGGTTGCACGTGGTGTTGTATGGCTCCTCGGAGGCAGGGCTGAAATCAGAACAGAGCTATCTGCTCAAGGCTGCAGCTTCTCTTCAGCATCTGTAGTTCAAATATGAGTAATTCTCCAAAGACTGACTTTATAGCATCCTTACTTCCTTTCCCTTTGAAATCTGTGGCATAACTCCTGGTGAACTGTAAAGCCAATGGACTGTGTTGCACCAAAAAGAGTTAATTCGATTCATTTGTTTAGCAGTCAAGGGCCATATTCAGTGCAGATTAAATAAAGCGCTTACTACTTTCTATGAATTGGCATGAAATAACAGCCACAAAAAATTATGGAACATGAATTGTTCCCTTTGCATATGCATGGCTGTCATACTTCTGACCTTAATTACAGATGGTAGGCTATAAGTAGATGTGGATCCAGACCTCCTCAGTCACTCAGCTCAGGCTGGGGAGTGACAGTGACAATATCCAGGAGCAGGACTTGCACAGACTATCAATTTTTGAAAATGCCTTGTGATTTTTTGGGTAACCAAATGCGGAAGTGGTAGAGAAGTCTGGTTTTCAGGTCAGAAGAGCTCAGCACTTTGGAAAATGAAATTGCTTTGATATTTCTCCAGGTGGTCACCTGAAAACTCAGGTTTTTTTCTGAAAACAAGAGGCAAAGACCAAGCTCACCTCCCTGCTAGCTCTTTGTGGACAGTAATTAATCATATTGGTTTTGTTTCCATCCCCTACTCCCCATGTGGGAAGACCTCAAGCCCCAGTCTTCTGCTTCTGAGTTAGTTTGTTTCCACAAAAGGAGGAAAACCTTTCTTTGAGGAAATGTCAGGGAATTTATCATGGAGAAATAAATCCCAAGAAAACTTGCTTGATGCACCAGCCACCCGTAACCCGTGGAGCTCTGTAGGAGACAGGCACCCTGTCAGCACCAGTACCTCCATCCATGGTGTGCCCCTCTTCCCTGTTGTGCTGGGCAGCCCAAACGAACTGTGGGGAGGGGGCAGACAGAAAATGGGGGCAAGGTATGGTGGACTGGTGTCTCACACTGTCTCATCTTTGCTGCCAGAAGTTTGGGTCTTAATGAACAACCAAGCCGAGCATGCAGGTGAGGCACCAGCTGGATGGTTCCCATAGGGAAGTAGCTGATCTACCAGATCTTTTATTTCCCCTCTCCAGAACGGCTGTGGAGTAAGCCATCCCATTCAGGAGAGCTGAATTCCCCTGTGCCTTCAGTGCCACAACATACAGGTGGGTTTAGGGACAGTATTTTAGGAAATGGTAGCCTTCATAAGACTCTTGTGCTGCCTTGTCCATGCTCAGTGTTGCTGCCTGTGTTGCAGTCTCTGCATCACTCCCGTAAGCATCACAGGTGCGACTCACCACCTTATATACTGTCACATAGACAGTGGCATTGCAGTCTCTCCTGAACATAGGATGCAGAGAGATGTTATTTATTTAATGTAAGTAAGTGCACATGTTGGATCTGTGTATATGCAGTAACTGTTTTGCTTACACTTACTGATATGTAGTACAGCCAAAACAGCAGGAACCGCACCCAAAAGTGGTGCAAACAAAATCCTATGAATTTATACAAATATGCTGCATTCATGTAAACAATGCAAATATTACATCTCTCTGTTGTGCTGATGGGGAATAATTTGAGAATTTCAAGCAGTGCAAGTTTTGAGATGCTGGAAAGACTTGGCCTCATTTTGAAAGTGTAGTTGAGGTTCTAATATATTTCATGTGACAACCATATCCTCAAACCTGCTATTTGTTATTTTGTTTTAAAACAGAAACAAACGATTTTCTCATTTTGTTTACAGGACAGTGGAGCTGGGGATAACAGCTGCGTTGAAGAAATATTGCGGGTAGGAGTCCTTAACAAAAAAAAAAAACCCACATTTTTTTTCCAGTGCCATTTTGTTTACTCTAAAAAGACAAGAGAATAGCAAGGATATAGCAATCACTGGTGTTAAAAATATTAGTCTTTTAGGTTGTCATCTTTCTAAGGAAAAAGTAGGCAAAATTATTTCCTCATGAAAAATAATTGAAAAATCTCTGCAAGCAACCTTTCAGAGGCTCTGGATTTCACTGCTACTCTGTGCCAGTACGGCTGACCTTCATGCATGCAGAAGCAGATAATGGGATAAATTATAAACTGAAATGTACAATGATGTTTCAGGTTTACAAACCATGCAAAGTGCATGTTTCCATTAATCATGACTGTCAAAAATCTTAATTTTGAAGGGAGGTCTAGGAAGGTCATTTTCCACTTGGATTTAATTAGAATCCATTATGTAATGTCATTATGCCTATTATGTCCATTATATGATGACAATGTGCAAAACCCATAGTTATTTCCATATTTCATTATTATTTCTTTTCTCTTAGTAATTTCCAGTTTATTTTCATGAAGCAAATTAATACACATCCAGACAGATTTTGGCTTAAATCAACTTAGGTATTGGTTATTTTCTGAGGCAGCCAAATTTATAAACAATTAAACATTTCCATATATTTTAACTAGTGGGGTTTTCTCAGGGTTTTTTCTCTAAACTGATCATTCAATAATTCACAGTGCTTACAAATCCAATATAATAGTGATTGAAACACCAAACAAGGTAGAGGGAATGGTAAAACTTCCCTGTTACTGCGTGCGCTTCCACCTCCTGCATATCCACTACCCAAATATTTTAGACTGTTTATAAATTACAGGGCTATAAATATTTGGTTTAGAGATTAGTAGTGCATTAAGCGTTGTTCCTAAAGGCATTTCTCCATTCTCCCTGAATATGTTAAATACAGCTTTTAATTCTTTGTCCAGTTTAAGTTTATTGATGGGTGATGATGATGTATTGCTTATGACTTCACTGGCAGAGCTTTTACTCAGCTAACATTTACAAAGTAGGGTTTTGTAGGGCTGAACTGCATATTCAAAAAGCCTTAGCCTGAGTCCCTGCTGTTCTGTTACAAATTAGTAGCAGATACCATGAATTCATCTGATGTGATGTGAGGCCTATGCACCCATTTTTTTATGCAAGGCTTTTAGAAAGAAGAGTCAAAGAAGCTGATCTTCCTCCTTAAGTTGTGCAATGTGGCTTGTGCAGTTAGGCAAAAAATGTAGAAGAGACATGGTTCCTTCCACACAGAGGAACATGGATATGTAAGGAAGTGCAGCTAAGAAGAAAAATGCACTGTATGAGTAGGGATGGTAAGGTGCATCTCCAAACCAGTGAACACAGTTGCTGCGGTCTTTATTTTTTTTTTTCCATTGGGAATATTCCTTAAGAAATATTTTTGCAAAGCTTCATGATGAAACATTCAGGACATCCTCAGAGGGATAATACCATTTTTTCCTGAGGATTCACATATTCTTTCACTTTCATTGAAAATGGAATAAAACAACACACAGCTCAAAAGCCACGTTTTGCATCAGTGGCTCACTATCTGCTGAGGCTTAGCATGGCTAAAACAGAGACTGTAATGTTTTCATCCCCTGGCTCTCGTTCTCACATGAATCCTCAGTCTTCATGGGTAACCTCTCAAATCTGCCCCTCCTCCTGGTATGCATCCTGAGTATCACTTTCTATGCTGAACTTCATGTTCCTATGTCAGACTACATGGAAATCTTGCTGAATGTTACTCAACAGCATTTCTAGGTGAAGCTCTTTATTAACAAAGGTATAAATCTCAGCTCCAAATTCTCATTGCACACCTTGGCTGCTGCAACATCCTTTCCTTGGTTTTGACAAATGTAGTGTTACCCACCTCCATTCATGCTGCTGTGCAGATCATTTTCCTAGCTTGACATCTTGCCCAAAGACATTTGTCTTTACATCTCACCACTGTCACCTTCTCTATTGCATAAAATACAGCTATTTGTCTCTGATTTTAAGGTGTCAAGTCTACCAGACCATGTTAACATTATCTCCCACTTGAGCTTACCTGGTTATGCCAATGTCCATGTCAATGTTGCAAAGTTTTACATCAAGTAACTACTTCCATGCTTACCATCAGATCTGGAAGGAGCTTTGAACGCTTTCCAAGTCAGCTCCATACCTGTCTTCAGATCCTCTCTTAAGAACCTCCTTTTTCACAAGGACTGTGGAAAACCAGTAGTGAGGTCAGGCTAATGCCACTGCTTCTTATGCTTGAACACTGCTGTCACGCTTGTCCTTTGTAGTGCCTGGTCAGGTCAGATATATCCATCTGCTCTACTTTGTCCTGAAAAGTGAACGTCCTGTGTCAGGGAACTGCTGTGTACTACAAAAGTAGTGCTTGAGTACTCTCGCAATACAAATCTGAATCAGCAGTGGTTGTTGTTAACGATAATTAGTGAAAACAACAACAGTAATAATGTGCCATTGCTACTCACTTTTCTAACTTACTGGCATCCAGACTTTTCCAGCCCTCTCTGTGCCCAAACAAAAACTGCAAATTAGTTTTAACACAAATTTTCTGTTTTTTCTGAAACAGACTGTTTATAAGGAATGCCATTTCCATGTTTTTGCTGGAGGTGCTGTTTGCATTGTAGAGCCACAGTTTAGCTTCTTTTCAGGGAGAATATATGCAGTTCTCGTACGGGTACCCAAAGGCAGACAATGAAAAGCCACAGGAGCTGCAATCCTTGTGTTCACCTAAGAAAAGATGGCACACTGAAATGTGTGGAAGGGCCACTCTACTGTATGGAGATTCAGCAAAAGGAAGAAGATGCTTAAAATTTATCTCTTTAATGAATGCTGCAACCTATTTTAGCTGTCTCTTGCACAACACAAAGAAGAAAACATCGTCTCTTTCTAGATAGGATAGGGTGTTCCCTGCACAAGTCAGTGTGTAGCTTTTCCAAGGGATAGGTACTGCCATGGCACATCCTTGTTTCCCTGGTCAAGACCAAGGGCAGTAGAAAGTATGTCCAGGTCTGCTTCATTTGCTTCCCTGTGTTTACTTCCCCCAGCAGGTGAGAGGAGACAAGCGCTGGTGTGTGCACAGATCTTGTCACCCTCTGGTTTCAGGACACAGCCAGAGGGAACACCTGGACCTGGTCCACAAAATCAGTTTAGACATACCTCTACAATCACCAAATCTTGTTTTGCATTAACTGTGACGAGAAATTTATAGTCTTTGTGCTGTTTGGTGCAACGCGGAGTGCAACGGCTTAAGTCTAGCCCTTTTTTGATGTTGTTTTACCAAATGTATCAGAGGTCTGTAGATTTTGTAAATTGATAGATCCTTCTGCACAAAACTGCAGCTTCCAGGGAAAGCTCCCAAGAGCTGAGACACAGAACTGCTTCCAGTCCTGAAGGAGGCTGATTAACAAGACAGAAACCCTGTCGAGATCGGAGCTGTTGTAAGGACTCCTGCTGAGTTTATAATCACTGCAGGAATCCTGAACCTTATCTAACCCCGTGCACTAATTTATAGCAACTTTTTCAAAGTGTAGTGACTTCTCTGTCCAGCTGCAGGCACACACGTTGAGGACAGAAAAACTTCTAAGAGAGCCTTCGATGTAAATAACTCCAGTAAGACCAAGTTATAGATGTAATGTCAAATTGAGAGAGAAAAGCATCTTTACTTGATGGTAGCTGTAAAAGACAGTTCCTTGTAAGCTTCTGCATTGCTGGTGGAGGACATGGTAAAGAACTTTGAAGTGGAAAATAAGAGTTAAAACTACAGAAATATCCTTTATTCCCCCATGCCCGGAGCAGTTGCTGCCTGAGTTCCTGGGACACAGCCAAAGCCGACCTAGTCACTTCCTCTCTAAAACGCACACTTGCTAAGCAGGATTAGTAATTTTGGCTGATTTCTATTTGATGATTTTATTAGTGTGTGCAAGTGTGTCTTTTGTTATGAGTGGTGGGGTTTGGAGTAAACATTTATTTTGCTGTAGTAGCTGCAAAACATGGGAGCAGCAGGAGTCCTGCCTCTCCACTAAGTTAACTGTTGCAACCAATATCAGGTGTACTTTGAGAATATTTGCTATGGATTTCAGGAGAAAGGGAGTGTGTCAAGTGCAGACAGTTCTTGGTTTGTAAGATAAGTGGTTGGAGATTGATCTGGCTGTTCTTACACTCTTAGCTGCAATTTTCTAGAGTTGTGGTAGATTTGTTGAAAGGAAACCCACAGACAAGCTGAGCTTTTAATTATTGAAGATATTGCTTCTGAATTTCCTGGGTTTTTTGTGTTGACATGAGAGGTGTCGTTGAACTGGGAAGAGACAGACACAGTCTGAGTGGCTTGCAAACAGTATTTGACTACAGGATGCAGAGACAGCAGGAAGCTGATGGAGCAACACGAATGCAAAGGGGCTGGAGGAAAACCAAGCACATCCAGTTTACACAGAAGAAGCCACCTCTTTTGGGATGGTATGGAGCAGTGGGGAGACAAGATGGGGTGTGGGATGGGGGACAAATAAGTTTCTTTCAAGGAAGAAAAAACAGATGGGGAGGCAGTGAAAGTACTGAATCTCTAGCTGTGAACATCCCTTCAAGTGAAGGACAACTTTTCTTGATGCCCCTAGCCTCCTGACCGGGGGTGAGCACCTCTATGTGCCCTTGCAAATAGGTTGTGACACCCCATGGCCACAAGACATCCACTTATGAGAACATGGCATTTTAGTTGTGATGGCTTTGATGAGTAATTTACTTGAATCTTTCTATTCTGCGAAAATGAAGTATGTGAAAAGCATAGGGCTTCTTCTTTGAGCATCATAAAAACCTGAATGAAAACAGAACCTAATTCTGTGTTTTTCTCCTTCCCCACTTGGGATCCCTTGGCTCATTAGCAGGCTTGCTAATTCTTTAGCAGAAAGCATTAAGGATCAACCCATCAAATATTCAGAGTTTTTTTTCAAACCTGAACAGCCATATGT